ATATGGTATCTCATTGTGCTTTTGATTTCCATCTTCCTGATGGTAATGCTGTTGAGCCACTTTTCAGGCACTGTTGGCCATTGGTATTGTCTTCTTTGGAAAAATGTCTATTGAGATCCTTTGCCCATTTTTTTAAGTTGAGCTCCTGTAGACTTATGCCTGTGGTTTCTTTTATGGGGTCAGTCCATCTCATAATTTGTCTCTTTTCCTGCTGCCTCCTGCTTTCCCCAGCATCATCTTTTCTGAAGAACCCTGCCTTCTCATGATGTGCCTATCAAAGGATAGGTTCAGTTGTGTGATTTTGGCCTCCATCAGTGTTTCAGACTTCATTTGCCCTAGGGCCCACTTGTTCATCTTTCTGGTGGTCCAGAGTATTCATAGAGTTCTCCTCCAACACCATTCTATTTCATATTATTCAGTTTTTTTCCCTATTTTAGATATAATTTACTATTCTAAATATAAGTTACCTATTAATACATGGTTTGCAAATATTTTCTCCCCTCCTGTGGGTTGCATTTCACTTTCTTGGTGGTTACAGCTGTATATCTTGTAAGTAGTCAGGGCATTATTACGTCTTCCAAGCTCATCCATGGACTGGGTCAGCTCCTCCTTCCATAGCTTCCTGGTGCATTCCTTTATCATAGCACTGAGCTCAGTGTATTGGTATTATCAGTTTAGGATTTGCTTCCCCTGTGAGCGTGGGGAAGCTGTGTCTTACAAATTTTTGTAACTCCAGTGCCTAGGAGTCTGCCTAACACAAAATAAGAACACGGCAATGACTTGGTCAACTAAATTAACGTGAAGTTTGAGTCTGAAGAAATGATGCAGGTCAATACTAATCCAAGAGAGCAGGCTGATACAAAGGGCCCTGAAAGAGTTTCCTTGACAAATCTGCCAGAGACAAGGAAGCTATAATTCCTTCTACAGAAATAGGCTCACAGTTTTTCTAGAAATCACCCCTTAATGTGGTGTTTTGATCTGCCCCAACCCTAACGCTTCTGCGGTGCCTGGGCTAACGGTGGTGCTGTGCTCTGTAGCCGCCTGTGGCCCCATCACAAGGAGTGACAGAATGGGATCCAGAGCACCGCCGGCTGCTTTTATATGTTCTGAGCTGGGGACCAAAATTTATGTGAACAAGCATTTATTTCACTCATTTATTTAAAAACCTTTCAAACTTTTTCAGTGCCATATTAGGATGGCCCAAATCTAGTGAGGTCAGGTCAATAAAGCTGCCCATATGCGCAGGGAGGTGACCTGCTGCATTGCGTTACCTTGTGGCTCTGATGAGGAAGCCACAAGGCAAGGAAGCTCAAATTTTTCTCTTCCCAACAAGACATCTCTTATGGTAGTACTTTAATAATGATTTTTTTCCCCCCTTACGATCCCTTTTTTTTAAAATGATCCTCATTTGTCCTAAACTTTTCTAAATTAAAGATATAATCAGATGGATTCTCCTTCTCCAGATTTTGGAGCATATTTTATTTTCTCTCAGAAATACTCTGGGCTCTCTTCCCTCCATATTTTCACTATTGCAAATGCTGCCAGTGCATTATTTTGATTAGAAAATTGCAGATACCATGAAGTAACAAATATTCCCTGCAAAATGAGGATGAGGTTTTAACTGTATAAATACGGTCTTCCTTCTCAAAACCCTCTAGTTCTTGATTTTGAACCCTGATGGAAGCAAGCAAGAGGCTATCTAAGAATAAGACTGAAAAAGGAAGCCATTAGTTTTTGTGTAATTTTGATGAGATTTGTATTCTCAGACACTTTTATTTCTTTTTAAAAATATATTTCAGCCTGGCTGACGTGACTCAGTGGATTGAGTGCCAGACTGTGAACCAAAGGGTCGCCAGTTTGATTCCCAGTCAGGGCACACGCCTAGGTTGAGGGCCAGGCCCCTAGTAAGGGTACGTGAGAGGCAACCGCACAATGAGGTTTCTCTCCCTCTCTTTCTCTCTCCCTTCTCCTCTCTCTAAAAATAAGTAAATAAAAGCTTTAAAAATAGTATTTAAAAAAGTAAAATATATTTTATTGATTATGCTATTACAGTTATCCCAACTTTTCCCCCTTTACCCCCTTCGCCTGGTAACCCCCTTTCCTCCAGCAATCTCCTCCCTTTGTTCACGTCCAGAGGTCGTGCATATAAGTTCTTTGGCTACTCCATTTCCTACACTGTTCTTAACATCCGCCTGTCTATTTTGTACCTACCAATTTGTGCTTAATCCCTGCATCTTTTCCCCCATTCTCCCCCTTCCCCAGCCCAGCTGATAACCCTCCAGATGATCTCTGTATCTATGATTCTGTTCCTATTCTGCTTGTTTGCTTAGTTTGTTTTATAGATTAAGTTATTGATAGTTGTGAATTCATTGCCATTTTACTGTTCATTGTTTTGATCTTCTTTTTCTTAGATAAGTCCCTTTAACATTTCATATAGTAATGGCTTAGTGATGATGAACTCCTTTAGATTTACCTTGTCTGGGAAGCACTTTATCTTTCCTTCGATTCTAACAGATAGCTTTGCTGGATAGAATAATTTAGGTTGTAGGTCCCTGCTTTTCACTTTGAATACTTCTTGCCTGTCTCTTCTAGCCTGCAAAGTTTCTTTTGAGAAATCAGCTGATAGTCTTATGGGAACTCCTTTGTAGGTAATTCTCTGCTTTTCTCTTGCTTCTTTTAAGATTCTCTTTTTATCTTCCACCTTTGGCATTTTAATTATGATGTGTCTTGCTGTGGTCCTCTTTCGGTCCAACTTGTTTGGGACTCTGTGCTTCCTGGATTTGTATCTCTATTTATTTCATCAAATTGGGGAAGTTTTCTTTCATTATTTTTTCAAATAAGTTTTCAAATTCTTTTTCTTTCTCTTCTTCTGGCACCCCTATGGTTTGGATGTTGGTATGTTTGGAGATATCCCAGAGGCTCCTTATTCTATCCTTGCTTTTTTATTATTCTTTTCCTTTTTTACTTCTTGATGTTCTGATTGAATGCCTTTTTTCTTCCTTATGTTCCAAATGGTTGATTTGATTCTCACCTGCATCCACTCCACTCTTGGTTCCCTGTAGATTTTTCTTTATTTCAGGCATGTTTACTTACACCTCCATCTTGACTGGAAGTCCCATTTTTATTTCTTATTCAGCACTATTAAACACACACACACACACACACACACACACACACACACACACAACTAGTTGACAGCTAAGCCAATTGAGATGTGCTAACATTATTAAGTCTTAAAAGACTAGGATTCCTGAATGAGAAATAAGCCCACCCTTGCTTTTTGTTTCTTTATGAAACAAAAACAGTTATATATTCATGGGTGAAAGAGCTTGGCAGACATGATTAAAATAATATTGTATTGAAAAATACTTACTTTGATTGCCTAAAAACCAGATGTTGTTCATGGTAGTTAAAAGCCTATAATAATGTCCTCACTCATGTGTTTACCACACTTCTGTGAGATTAATAATAGGATCCCCCAAACCAGAAGTGGAGAAACTGAGAGAGGACACTCGAGAAATACTCTTGTATCTTCTGCCAAAGTTCCCCTGAAACAGTTTTGCCTGGAACATAACCTTATTGGGAGCAGAGACCTTGTTTTATAGTTATTGTAAATCTTCTTTGTCAGTATGTAGGCCTGGCACATTACAGGTGCTCAAAATATGTTGCATGGATAGAAGGCAGGCAGAAATGTTTTATTAATCTGACCAACAGTGTGGTGGGGGACGGGGTTGCCACTTAGTAGCTGAAGTCCCTCGGGAAAGTATTTAATCTCCTTAAACCTCAGTTTCTTATTTGTAAAATGGGGATACACTAGTACTTAACTTCAATAAGCTGTAGAATAGTAAGTATTTGATTATTATTAGGGATTATTAAATTGAGCAAATTTCCTGACTCCCTATTCAGAACTTGACCACTAAGCTGTTAATGAGCTTGATTAAACATGGACAAGTGTATGCATATATTTATATCATCAGCTCAGCTGTTCTTTATCGCAAAATAACAAATTGAGGAGATGTTATTTGGACACTGATTTCTATTAACTCCACTGAATTAGATTCAGTCCTCACTTTTAGGAATTATGCCCTGGAAAAAATGAAATAAAGAAGTTTTTCCAATATGAATATTCTTGTCTTTGGAGGTTAGCCCTGGATCTCAGAACAAAAACAAATCAGTAGTCATTAGTTACTGTATCTCATTTTCCAAAACACATGTTTCATTGTTACGGTCCTTTACAGATAGTTTTACATGACACACTTATGCTTTTGTGTTTTTGCTAAATCACTAAATGACTAACCTTTGTGTTCCTGATGGATTAAAATTGTCAAAAGATTCATTTTAGGATTATGTTTCGATAAGGCTGTTAGTAACAGTGAAGAGCCCTTGGTGAGTACAGTAATATAGCGGGATCCGAGGGTTGCCCCATTATGAATGGATTTTTGGATGTAGGAAGAAATTATTTTTAAGTACAGCATCCCTACAAACCCTGAAGCTGTGTGTTTTACAAACTAGAAATTTATGCACTAAATAAAAATTACCAGATGTCAGTGTCCGTATGTGCCAACTGGCAAATATGTGATGGTTCAGAGTCTGGAAGAAATGATGCTCACTTCTTTGCCATTCAAACTCAAAGGGGGTAGTTGAGGTAAAATGCTGTTGAAAAAATTACAATGTACTCAGCTACCCAAAGATGTCACATGTTACGAATTGTTATCTGAAAGGCTTTAATTTTTTCCCTCATGACTCCGTGCATGTTTGTGGCATTGCAAATGTAACCCATGTTTCTGTTCTAATTTATTACATTCTTTCCAAAGGCTTGTCTCATTCTCTTAAAGTGTCAGCAGACACCTTATTTAAAGAGCCAGCCAGGACACAGCAGTTTCATAAAGGTCCAATACGGAGCTAAATGTATAATAGGGTTCATGGCTTTTATCTTGCACATGCCAGCACACCTCAGTAATTTTTGTGACATCATCAAATGGATTCTCTTCTCTCCTTAGAAATTCGAGCTCAACTGGTAGAACAACAAAAATGCCTGGAGCAGCAAACGGAGATGCGAGTTCAGCTTCTCCAGGACCTGCAAGACTTCTTCCGGAAGAAAGCCGAAATTGAGACAGAATATTCTCGGAACCTAGAGAAGTTAGCAGAAAGGTTCATGGCAAAAACAAGAAGCACTAAGGATCATCAGCAGTACAAGTAAGAGAGACTTGACTCAGATACACCCTTCCCAGGCGATATCCTACTTTTTCACTACCTTTTTTTTTTGGTTTTAGAACTTTCCATTTTTATCTCATAAGCTATTGATTGGCATATCCCCATATTTAAAAGCAACCATTTCCATTTATGGGCATCAATTTATCACATTTTAAGTTAATAGTATTCTCTTCACACTTTTCTCTTTCCAATAAATACATATTTGTGGGTAACTTTATATTTAAGGAGAATATAAAGTTTATATTCTTTTTTAGCATTTTAAAATTATTTTTATTTAATGATTTTTAGAGAGAGAGAAAAAGGGGGAGAGGGGGAGAGAGAGAGAGAGAGAAACATCTACTTGTTGTTCCACTTATTTGGGCATTCATTCATGGCTACTTGTATGTACCCTGACTGGAGATTGAACCCACAACCTTGATTTGTCAGGACAGTGCTCCTATTGAGCTGCCTGGCCAGTGCATAAACTTCTTAATTCTTGACTACAAACAGTTAGGAGTTGGTACCTACCACAGGTATATATTTGGATGGGCAAATTTTAAATAGCCAATTGTTCAAGCAGAGACCTCAGGATTTCCGCAGTGATTTTATATGAAAATAAGCAATAAGAGTTGCTTGAGTTTAGTCCCCATGACCCCCCGCATCATGTTTATGGTCATTGCCATTGAAACTGACTTAAAACAAGGGTCTTCGATAAAATGCTTATGATTGAGTGTAATGAAACCTTATCTTAATTGTACTTCATTTGTTTAAAAAAATACCTACAGGATTTTCTGATAACGGAATTTATAATAAATTCTCGAGTCAAAAAGAGATAAACATGCAGACAACTCCAATAGAGTACACGGTTGCAAGGACAGGAAAACGCAGCGTGTCACGGGCCGACCTGACAGAAAGCCAGCCTGCAGGGAAGGTGGGAAGGGAGCGTCAAGGGAAGGCCCTGGGAGAAGTTAAACTGTGCCAGACCGTGGAGGCCTGCGGATCATACTCAGCAGCTTGGATTTCATCCTGAGGGCATGAGGAGCCTTTGGGGAGTTTTAAGCAGCTCAGACCTGCATTTTAAAATGATGACAAAGACTCTAGATAAGAATGTGCACTGGGGGACACTGTCATCGAGAGAGGGAGCCGATGTAGAGGCTCATGCAACAGTGGTGTGAACTAGCAGCACTGCAGGTAGAAATAGACTTGTTTAGGAGATATTAAAAAGGCAACAGTCTTTCATTTCTGGAAATGCAGTGGCCTGGGTCATCTGAAAAATACTTCTGCTGCAAAACTCCCAGAAATTCCATCAAAATATAATAGACATTCTTTTAAATGTGTAACTGAACTCACAGGAAAGTAAGGGAAATTTCCAGAGACGAGAAAAGGAAGAGGGAACTGAAAATCAAATTGGCATTTGTATCCGCTCTTAAGTCCCACGTGGGAACAGAAGGTGAGGGCTGGGCAAGGTAAAGGGCTTCACTGTGGATTTCCCACCACCAACCCTATCACATTGCTTCCCAATCTAAAATCAGGACCCATAGAACTACTCTCTCAGTGAAATGATAAAACAGAAAACCATCCACCCACCTACACTGGATGACAACAAGGAGGCCTGTCTACTCTGCCTGGCTCCATATTGGAGGAGGATTCAGTGATGCCTGTCTTTACCTTCACTGTTGGCTTTGTAGAGGGGGGGAGCTATCCCTGGGGTACAGAAGCAGAAGCAAATGCAAAACTACTCTGCATAGGGAATACCTTTTTAAAATCCTCACATGAAGATATGTTTATTGATTTTAGAGAGAGGGGAAGGGCAACAGAAAGAGAGAGAGAGAGAGAGAGAGAAACATCAATGTGAGAGAAAAATATCAATCTGTTGCCTTCCATACACACCCCAATCGGGAATCGAACCTGCAACATAGGTATGTGCCCTGACCAGGAATCGAACCCTCAACCTTTCGGTATACGGTATGATGCTCCAACCAACTGAGCCACCCAACCAGCCCTTTCACCCCCTTTTTTTTTTTCTATGACTTTAACCTCTAACTTTGGTATAGTATAGAAATAAACCTTAGTGATGATTTCCAGGGCAAACAAATGTTCAATGTACTTGACACAGACTGGAGCCAGTACTATATTCACATTTATAATAACTGTTCCTTCTTAAAGTGATTGCAAATAAGAATAAAGCTCAGTAAATATTCATCCATTCAGTAAATATTTTTGAATGTCATCTTCTGTGTTCTGTACTCTGTAACTGGTTGTGAACTAAAAATAGTCACAGGCCCATGTACCTTAGTCTAGTCCCTTTGTGGATAGGTGCCCCTTTTTGTTTCTCCTGGCTTATTCACTAGTTTTCTTCAAAAAGTAAGCAACTTGGGATTTTCTTTGACCTGAGTAAGTTTATTATTGAATATAGTACTGAATGTAGCCATACTCAATAATAAATGTAGATGGATAATAAATCTACAGAAAGGACAAACCAGGATGAGGGAAAGCTCAAAGACAGGCTTTATTAAAAAGTCAGACAGGTAATCAATTTATAATATATGTAAGTCAAACCATTATGCTGTATACCTTAAACTTATACAGAGGTATATGTCAATTATATCTCAAAAAAACTTGGAAGTGGATAGTCAGGCAGACCTCATTTGAATACTGACCTACAGTGTGCCTTTTGTAAAATTCTTAACCTCTCTGAGCCTTCGTTTCCTAACTTGTACAACGAGACTTTATGACCATTAAATGAGAAACTTGACAAAGTTCTTGATGTGATTGATAGCTGGCATGCAGTCCACACACAACATTTCTTCTCGTCTTCACAAACAAATATTAAATCTTTAGCACTTACAGTCATTTAGCACTTCACCAATCATTTAAGATGGACTTTTAGAGTCTAGCTCTTAACTCAGCTTGGGGAGACTTGCTATGTAGAACAATCCTTGGCCTAACATTGCCGCTGCATAATGCAAAAACCAAGGGTTGGATCAGCCTCCTGGACTCAAAAGACCCTCTGATACACAGTTCTGGGAATCTATCCGAAGAAACCCAAAACGTTAATTTAAAAGAATATATGCACCCCTATGTTCCTTGCAGCATTATTTACAATAGCCAAGATGTGGAAACTGCCCAAAGCATCATCAATAGACAAGTGGATAAAAAATGCTGTGGTACATTTATACAATGGAATATTATGCAGCAGAAAGAAAGAGGGAGGCTCTACCCTTCACGACAACATGGATGGAACTGGAGGGTATTATGCTAAGTGAAATAAGCCAGGGGGTGAAAGACAAATACCGTATGATCTCACTTATATTTAGAATCTAATGAACAAAATAAACTGACAAACAAAATAGATATATAGAATAGAGGTATAGATACAGGGAACAGACAACAATGTGGTGATAGAGGGAAAAAGGGGTGGGGTAGGTAGACGTAGGCAAAGGGGGGATAAACGGAGCTAGAGACTGCTTTGGGCAATGTGTGCACGACGCAGTGTGCAGATGATGTTTTGTTAAGTTGTACATTTGAAACCTGTATGGTTTAGTCAACCAATGTCACCCCAATAAATTCAATGTAAGAAAAACAATGAGAAATAAAAGATTCTCTGACACTAGCTTTGGTGTTCAGTAAATCACTGTTCCTTGCTAAGTTCAGTTCTGTCATTGATAGCGGGGATATAAAGAATCTCTGCCTGAAATGGTAATGTAAGGGTTAAATGGATTAAGTAGAGTCAGTGTGTATAGTCTGTAGACCAGCCCCTGGATAAAAAGGGCTAACTTTAGCCCTGGCCGGTAGGGCTCAGTGGATGGAGCAGTAGCCTGGGATGCCAGTTCAATTCCCACTCAGGGTACATGCCTATGTTGCGGGCCAGGTCCCCAGAAGGGGGCTCAAGAGAGGCAACCACACATTGATATGACTCTCCCACTCTTTCTCCCTCCCTTCCCCTCTCTCTAAAAATAAATTTAAAAAAAAATTTTTTTAAGAACTAACTTTATATAGCACTTACTATGGATCTAAGGCACTTAGGTTGGCATTTTAAAATATGTTACCTTAATCTTCATAATAATCTTATAAGATAAATACTATTATTTTATCTAGTCTACAAATGACATAACGGAGACACAGAAAAGTTAAATAATTTGACCAAGATCACGTAGCTAGTAAGTGGTGGTTCTGGAGACTGAACCTAGGCAGTAGAAATCTGTATTCCACACTCTTGACCTGTGGACTGCTTCTTATAGTTAGGTACTCAGTAAATGACAGCTGCTGTTACTGCTACTACTACTACTACTACTACTACTACTACTACTATTAGGGCAATGACAAGTATTTATTCAATGAATGAAATAATAATTAATACTTACTATGGGCAGGGCACTGAGGAAACAAAGAAGTATGAAATGTTTTCAAAGGCTTTGTGGGCCATTTCAGCATAGAGGATATACATAGTAGTTAATATAAGAAGGTAACATTTACCTCTGGGGCTGGGGGGATGGAGAGTGTCAGTGGAAAGGCTCTATTGTCTGCCATGGAACCACTGCCCTTTGCCCGAGTGCTATGAGAAAAAAATGGGGTTCTCCAGGTGAGGGCAGTAATTCTTAGTGTGCCAGCTGGGACAATGGGCAGCTCCTCCTAGGAGTACAAGTGCTAAGTCTCTAGATTAGGGATTTCTCCTCTACACCCACTCTTACCTCTACCCTCTACTTCCTCTTTTTTAGAGAGAGGGTTTTGACTTAATGCAGTGTTAAATCCTGAAGCTGAGGGGTTTATTGGCAGAAAGATCCTACTTAATGATTTTTTCCTAATTTCATTAATATCCAGAGTTATAAATGATCATGAATAATAGTAGGACAAAGTGTTTCATAGACTGGCACTTGTGTTTCTTAGTCAGGATAAACATTCTATACTATTTTGCCATTTTACAGTTAGATTTTAATGTCAAAACAAAACAAAAAAGTCACATAAAAGTTGTACTTTAATTTTTTTAAAGTAGTAACATCTCAGTTGGTCACTGTTTTTGTTCAGGGTTTTTCCTCAAGATTTTTTGCAAGCCTTCTTTTGTGGTTTATATTTACTTCTAGATTTATCTAGAACAAACAAAAACTAGTCAGAAAGCTAAAAGTAGTTTAATAGGTTTAAACGGGACACGTGGCAAGTTTTAAGCCAGCATACTTCTGCTTCTATTCACAAGCCTTGAGACAATGCTATAAAGTTCTGATTCTTTTGGGGAAGTTGGACGTTACGTATCAGGGGATTAATAAATAAGCCTCAAATTCATGTTCCGTGGAAAGCATACCTAGCCAAATTTCTTTTCCAGCAACAGAGCAAGCATTCAAAACAGACTTTGTGTGCAGGGCAAACCACAGTCTATCTGTGAGACAGTAGTCTATAGATTTTTATGTAAACATGAACTGCTTTCCTCAATGGATTGTTTAAAGCTGAAACTGCTTGAGTACTCTACATGGTAGGGTCCCATGGCCCTTGTCAGGAGAGGGGGTTTTGACTAGTATTCCTGGTCCAAGCTTTTTTTTCCAAGCCTAAGAAATTGCTGGTTCTGTTCTATCACAGTCTAGAAGGCTGCTCTGGTGGGTATTGGGTATCCTGGTGTGAACAATACCCAGAGTAGAAAGAACAGTGAAAAAACCTGTCTCTTGTGGCTCCTAGTTTGCCTTGGTGTCTTCCCTCAGCTGATCGGGGCAGCTTGGAAATTGATGTTAATTCTGTCTTTCTTCACTTTCTTAGGAAAGACCAGAACTTGTTGTCTCCAGTGAACTGTTGGTATTTGCTCCTGAACCAAGTGAGGAGAGAGAGCAAAGACCATGCCACCTTGAGTGACATCTATCTGAACAATGTGATTATGAGGTTCATGCAGATAAGCGAGGATTCCACCAGGATGTTTAAAAAGGTACCCTCCACCAACCCTGCCATCCTGTGCTTTCCCATAACCTCTCTGCCTATAACCATGATCGGGAAGGGGCGGTTACTTAATTGGATTCAATAAATATTGGGTAAAAAAAAATGAATTAATATTTTAGTTAAACGTGAAGCCTCTGCAAGCATACTTATAGAGTTAAATCACTGAGTCTGTGACCTAAACAATGTGAGCAAACTTTTGGAATGAGATGTGTCTACCAATTGCACATCTGACCTTAGGAACAGACTGCCTGAAGTTATGAAAAACCAGACCAGAAGGAAAAACCTTCATTTCTCTGTTCTGGGCTCACGCCTGATCTGAGACTTGTGAAGAACAAGATAACCAGATGTGCTGCTCTCTCGGGAAAATGTTATCACAGTTTCTTCTACTCCCTCCAGACAAGCAGTGGAGGCGGTGATAGAGTGACATGAAAAAAATTCCACAGGGCACAGAAAATTCTGTCCCTTACATACCAGAGAGCTTGCTCCTTCCCAAATCCACTTATTGATACGAAGAAGGAGAAACTTAGCTTTTAAGGCTTCTTATCGTTGTTACTAGTCTTAGCCAGCTCTCAGCAATTTTTTTGTTGTTTGAACATTTTTGTTGAGAGTAATAACAAAATTGGACCATCTCCCGAGTAGAGAATGCAGCTACTTGCCCAATTAGAATGGCTTTCAGTTTTCTGTTTCTAAGTCAAGGCTTCCTCCCACCCCCACTTCAGCTTTGTACTAGTGGCGTTTGGTGCCTATATCAGTATCTGTGCCTCTGTTAAGTAAATAATTAGTAGTTTCAGAAAGTGGGGGGAAAAACCAACTTGTGGATTAACGACATATTTATGTTTCAAAGGGGCCCCTTAAAACAAAGATGTAGTGTTAAGCAGGCCAGCTGGAAAACTTCTTAAGTCATGTTTGATGTATCCTAACATTAGATTTGATTTCTGACCTACAAGTGGAAGTTGGCAAACTCCAAGCCACCATTTGCTCTAGTTAATAGGTGGAAAAATATTTCAAACAAAGGAGAAATGTTATAAATTTAAAACTGCGTCCCTAGCTGGTGGGCTCAGTTGGTGCATCATCCTGTACACCGAAAGATTGCGGGTTCGATCACCAGTCAGGGCACGTATGGGAGACAACTGATCGATATTTCTCCCTCACATTGATGTTTCTCTCTCTCTTTCTCTTTCCTTCTCCCTTCCTCTCTCTCTAGTCAATAAACTTATCCTCAGGTAAGGATTAAAAATAATTAGAACTAAGAGCATATTAATTAAAAAGAAAATAAATACAAGAATATCCTATGTATCCTTAAAAGTAGAGATGGAAAAAAAAATTAGTTTAGACTGGGCCATGAAAGTGAAGTAATTTTCTCATACATCAGCCCTTTCAACCAAGACCTTACTTGGTCAGTTGTTTGTTTTTGTTTCTGTTTTTAAGCATCTTCTGTGAGCAGGAGATGGTGTTAGGGCTTGGAGAGGCCATATAGATGAAGAAAAACTAGTCCTTGTGTTCATGGAGGTAGCAATTTGTCCAAATTTGGATGGCGCTATGTGCTTCCCAGTCATGGGGGTGCTGGCAACCATTCAGCCAAGGCCTCTGGAACAAGCACCTCAATTGAGTTTACTTATTTACATTTAACAAAACATCTTTAAAATGCCTGGCTGCAGAAGCAGAGTCAAAAAACATGTCCCTGCCTGCAGGGACTCATTAAAATAATTAACAGTTGCCATGCCAAAGGGATGTACAACTGCGGGAGCTTGAAGGAAATTCTCCACAAGAAAGGGAACACTTGAAATGAGATCTGTAGGAGAAGGACGTGGTCATCAAGGGGACAAGGAAAATGGTCTATTGCAGGGAAAGCAAAAGTGTGACACATTCAGGGAAAGGAAAGACTTTGACGGGACTGGACCAGGGATTGTATGAGCATGAGTGATGGGCTCTGAGGCGAGAAAGGACGGTCATATAAAAAGGAACTTTATATGTCTTGCTAAGATGTTACAATTTGTATTTCATAAATCAAAGTCAAGCGCTTGATAAAGCTGATACGGGTCTAGAGCTGAGACTCAAATGGATTTGGATTTGAATGTCAGCCCTTCCACTTACTTGCTTTATAACCATCGGAGAGGATTAGAGAGATTCAGGAGAGCACTGTTCACTCTAAGGGAGCGAGGAAGGAAGGACTGGGCAGGAGAAGCTCTGGAGCTGGGATGGCCTTTTAGTGTTATCTTATATCCAGACAAAAGACTTCATCTTTGTTTTGCAGTCCTTGAATTTGAGTGGCCCTCGGGGAGGGACTAAGTAACCTTGGGGTGAAGCAGTTCCTTTTGTGGAGGGAAATTCTCAGAGAACAATCAGCTGTGAGTCCGACACTCAACAGCCAGTATTCCCAGTAGTTGGAATGAGTTCCTGGCTCTTGAAGAAAAGGTCTGGAGAACATGTCATAAACACACACGCACACACGCACAGATGCTTGCTTGCTTGCTTCCTAGAAGTTTCTTCTTATCCAGATCTTCGGGGACTCAAAGAATTGTAGCCCTTGGGAACTGCCGATTTATAGAGGACTCCTGGTTACTTTAGCATTTAGTGGGTGAATGGGCTTCTCCTGATCATTGCTGACCACTGGAAAGTTAACAGTCATTACAATTATAGGTATCAAATTCTACCTTCCTGAAGCAAACCCAGCAGACTACACACCCCACCTTTCCATGTATATTTATTGCTGGAAAAAGAAAGAACAAGAGAGATAGAGGGCAAAAGGGAAAGAACAGAGGTTATTGAAGAGCCAGATCAGCCCATGAGGACACATCTGTGATCTGAAAGAAGAGGAAGCCAGAACCCACATCTGCCCAGTCCCTAGGTCTTCAGGTCCCTTTAGATTAAAAAGCAAGTCTAGTCTTTTCTGCTTTTTTTTTCATTTTTTTTTTTATCACCAACCTTCCTCTTTTCCAGTTCTTCTTCCAGTGTATGGTTCTACTAGAATGGAAAGACACCATCACAGCCAGGCTGAGTGACCTTTAGAACTGCTCTGGAGCCCTTAGTGAGCAGAACACCATTCTTTTTGGGAAAAGATTTTAAGACTTCCTCACTTCTCAGAGCTACTCCTGTCTGTATGGAGATCCAGGAAGATGCTGGGTTCTTGGCAGGTTTAGCCTCTTGCACAGCTGTATCTTGCTTAGTTCAGTCAGTCATAGAGAATCCTCTACCAAACTGTTGAGTCAAATAGAGTTTGGAGCAGATAATTCTAGGAATGTTTTTGTATCCAAATGGATACAGTTATCAAGAAGACATGTAGTTCTATGCATAGGTATAGGAAACAGCTTCAAGACTTAAATTTTAATCACATCAGAACCAGTTACAGAAATAGTTGCATCCACTTGACAGAAAGTTTTCAACAGGTAGAAAAGGTGAAGCTTTTTAAAAACAAAAACAATACCCAATTATTTAAATATTGATCATTTCAGATTTAGACATTTAGAGTTTTAAGTGGAGCCTGCTGGTCAGAATACCAGTGATTCATCTTTTAGGCTCTGGAGATATTGTGGGTGTGAATCTTAACTTTACCACTGTTAGTAGCTATGTGGACTTGAACGTATTCAATATTTGTAAACTTCTTAAGCCTCAAGTTACTACATGTATAAACTAGAGTAATAACCTATCTCAAATAATTGCATAGAGGATTCATAAATTATACATGGAAAGCTGTTTAGTCCAGTTTCCAGGCTTAATATGTCCTAACGTTGAGCTATTGTCTTTATAATTATCTATATTGTGTATAGTTTCTCCACACACTAGTGATAATTTTGTAATGCGAGATTACAGTAGACGTTATACTAAATGTGTCCTCAGTCTCAGGAGACTATAAGGCACTACTGTGATAATCACATCCAGATCATCACAAGTTATTTGTATGTCACTTATTATGAAGTTCCAACCCATATTTGTAAGTGGAGTCTGAAAAATGCCCTCCTCACAGCATCCTTGCTTGAAGCTGAATTAAAATTTTGGTTCTCACATTTCACCAATTAGTCCGATATCAGAGAATAACAAATACCTGTGTTGATCAACCCCAGTGCCTTGCAGTTCCCTCAAAGCTATTTCACATGGGGAGCCTTACTTTGGAGATTTCATTGATTTCTTTGTTCATTCAACAGTAATAGTTGTTCAGCTCCAGACCCTTTGTTATGTATGAACAATGTAAGCATGGATAGAGTCGGATTCTGCTTTTCACTCTTAAGTTCTGCTTTGCCATTTTAGGAGAAGGTCAGAAATTGGAGACTGCTTGTACACATGGGTTCATTTCATTACCAGCTCTCATTCCTCTCCCAAAAAACAAGGGTTGATGGGGTGGCTCCTGCCCCACTCCCCAGGCCTGCCTCCTGGAATGATGAGATTTTGCTGCCTCCTTCCATGACTCATGCGGAAAGAGAGTGTTCTGCACCTGGTTTGGTGCCGCAGCCAGAAAACGTGCACTTCATGTGCTACACACACACAAAATTAATTAATGTCAGCAGTCACAGTCGCAGGAAAGACCCCAGCCAGCTTGCAGTAATCACTTTATTTAAGCACCGTATCACATGATCTTATTTACCAATTTTGAGAATGTTAATAGAAGTGTGTAGTTTAGAAAGAGCACCATAAAATGGTAGCATTCGAGTATGTTAAATTATGTCTTGTGTGTTTTAAATTATCTTGAAGTCTGTCATTTCCCCACAGCTTGTTTTAAAATTATGATTATTTTTTCTTTCTTAGTTTGTATAAATATGTGCACAAGTATAATTTATTTTGTTTCTTTACCAATAATGACATTGGCAATACTACTTACTGAATTTTAACTGTGCACCAAGCACTGTGCTCTGCATTGTTTACACAGTACTTCACACATTCTCATAGCTACCTGATGAACGGGGATTATAATCCACATTTCAAGGATGAGGGAGCAAAAGGCTCAGAGACAGAAATTGTAGGGTCAAACTGACTCATATATATTCTTCTCTTTGC